TTGGAATGAAGTATAACACACACACAGTATAACAGTAATGGGTACTATAGTATGGAGCAACTTTAAAAATTCATAAAAATAGTGTGTTGTGGTTTGACCTTAGACTAATTTGTGCAACTGTCAGTGGTTTATGTGAGGGATGACAGCTCGGGCTTGCTCAGGCTTGCCCAGGTTGTCATATAACTAGGAACTCTCATTGTTATGTGTTTGTCATGTGTGTGTGATATGTATAACTGGTTTTAACTTGTTTGTATCACATGATTTTTAATAAATGATGTACATGTAAAAGTGCCCAACCATTTCTGGTAGGTAGTGGTAGGTGATACTGGCCAAAATGGATTCAATACGATATCGATTGATATCAGCTCATATCAGGAGTATTGATACAGTTTCAATACAATATTTAGACCACACCTATGGAGTCACACCCCTTATTACTGACTGTTTTGATTGATGTTTTCATGCACGTATATCCACGTGTGTGTATTATATGTCATTAACCTATTATTAATATTATTTCACCTTAATAAATGGGCATGGTCAATGTACCGATCTGGATTCCTTCAAAATTTCCATACCAATACGAATTGATACTGTAAAATATCGTTTGTATCAATAAAATATCAATATATCACCCAGCACTACTTGTGTGTACAGTTGGTTCTTTGGCCAAAAGGTTCTTGTAGTTGGTGTAAGCCCGTGGGCACGTGTTGATCTCTTACAGTGGTGAGGGAGACACAGAAAGGAGACAGTCAATTGGAGACAGTAACATTGTCACTATGAGAGACAGGAGTGAGGGAGAGACACCTTGGGTACTAGACTAGTGTGTATTTGTACTGTGAGGTACAAACCGTGACTATAGTGCTCAAAAATCAGGTCAAAGTCCCTGTACTGGGATTTTGGCCAAATTTTGTCAAAAATGAAGAGGAGAGAATCCTCCATTTTAATTTTGTCTGATACACATACATGTACTTAGGTTATGTAGGAAGTTTGAACTGACTCTTGTCAAATTTGAATTTTTAAAGTTGCTCCAAATGCCATAGTATTGTAGTGCTTGCCAGCTCATGAAGCTCATGCTGTGTTTAGCTCACTTAGCATGCTTTGTGGGAAACCCTGTAATACATGTACATGTATGTACATGTATAAAAA